ATCTTTTTCTCCTTAAAAAACTTTTTTAAATAGAGATGGGGTCTTGCTATGTTGCCCAGGCTGGAGTACAGTAGCTATCACAGATGCAATCATAGTGCACTACAGCCTCAAACCCCTGGGCTCAAGAAATTCTCCTGCCTCAGTCTCCTGAGTAGCAGAGTCCAGGGTGTGTGCTACATGAATATGACTATCTTATGTATTAAGTAATAAAATTTGAGGTTTGCTTTAAGTTTGCACACACGCAGGGGTCCACTTCACTTATTAGGGAGAATCACTGATGTGAAGCTTCTAATTCCCCAAGGATGCTGGAGAGCAGAATATTAGTCCTCCTTGTAAATATCTCTTAAAATGACACGGGATACACCGCAGGGTGGCGGTAGGACATAGAAGGTTTGTGCTGAAACTCCATGATTATCATTGAGTTCTTAGAATTTGCTCTTCAAGTCACCTGTATGTTCACCTATTTGTCAAACTTTCCTTTTCTACTGAAGTGAGTTACAATCCCAGGTAAGTCCTGTCATTAACCAGACAGTCCGGAAATCTGGGTTTTACCCCCTATCGAGTTCCCATCTGGTATGTGATCCTGCCAACCTTACCAGAGCCTCTTCGGAAAGGACAATGTAGTTTTGTGATGTTGAAAACCACACTGAGAATTCTGTGAGAGTTTACAAGTCCTCAGATAAACCACTGTTGACCTGCAAAATCTGGTCCCTACAGGTCTGGACCTTGACTCCCTCTCCCTCCTGAACTCGGAGCACTCTCCCCTGGCCTTCTTCTCCTACCTCCAACATGTCACACCCACTCCTATCTCAGGGCCTCTGTACTTGCTGCTCTGACATTTGAAATACACTTTTTCCCTGATATCTATAGGGCTAACTCGTTTGCCTCCTTCAGATCTGTGCTGAGATGTCATGTAGTAAAGATCTAATCCCCACCTGAGTACTCCCTTAATACCCCTCATCATGTTGTTTTAAATTACCGTAAAATATACATAACACACCACTTTGAAATGTTATAACTCAGTGGCACTAAGTACGTTCATACTGTTGTGTGACATCACCACCATCCATTTCCAGAACTTTTTCATCTTTCCAAACTGAAATTCTATCCTCAAGAAACACTAACTCCCCCTTCCTGTCTTCTCTCTCCCCCAGCAATCACCATTCTACTTCTGTCTGCAGGGATCTGACTACTCTGGATGCCTCTCTAAGAAAAATCATAAAATTATGCATCCTTTTGTTTCTGGCTTGTTTCGTTTAGCATGTTTTCAAGGTTCATTCACATTGTAGTATGTGTCAGAATTCCCTTTTTAAGGCTGAATAATATTCCATTGTATGTATATTTCACATTTTGTTTATCTACTCATTCATCAATAGACTTGGGTTGTTTCTACCTTTCCGCTACTGTGATAATGCTTCTACTGACACAGGTGTACAAATATCTGCTCACGTCCCTATTTTCAATTTTTTAAAGTATATACTTTCAAGTGGAATTGTTGGGACATAAAGTAGTTTTATGTTTAATTTTTTTAGTAACTGCCATGCTGTTTTCCACAGCAGCTTCACCATTTTACATTCCCACCAGCAATGCACAAGGGATCTAATTTCTCCACTTGTTATTTTCAGATCCCCGCTTAACCAGTTTTCTTTTTCTCCGTAGCCTTTACTACCTCTAATACTGTAATACTTACTTATTTATTTATATTGGCTACCTCCCACTAACTAGGATGTAAGCCTCTTGGGAACAGGATGATTTGTTCCTTGCTATATCCTGAGCACCTGGAATACACCTTAGTACATAGCAGGTGCTCAAGAAATTTGTTGAATAAAGAATAAAACACTTGAATCACACACAACAACTTGAACAGGCCTTAGAGTCTGTTAAATAGATTTACCACACCATGTGCCTTAAACTACATCCAATTTAGAAATCTCAAAGTTGAATGGGTGACGGTTTCAGTGGTGTATTTGGCTTATCCTCATTAGCAATCATCTCAGAACCACAGACACCAAGACAATTGTAAGGAAGCACAGGAGTTATGTCATTCACATCACTGACTTCAAGCCTTAATTGCATTCATCAATTGAGCTATGTACAAACTTAAAACAGCAAAAATGAAAAAAAAAAAAAACAAAACTGCATGCACTTCTGGTTGACAGCCTGCAAATGCAATGTGTTTTGTTTTAAAAAATCAAACCAATAGTAAACAAGATAGACACTGGCCTTGCAGAGACTCCTTAATGAGATGTAGCCAAAGACAGCTTGACCTAGAAACCTAACTTCAGGCCTACTTTTATTTTGGCTGTTTTTTCTGTTGTTCATATTTGGTGCTTGTTTCATTTTGGTTTGTTTTCTAAGAGCTGCTTGTGAAGAAATCAGACAGAGTTTCCATGATATCTTTATAAATGAGTTGAAAAGCCATGTGATGTTCCCCCGCCTCTGGAAGTCAGTTGGTTGCACACCATTGGATTAAAGGTTTCTTTTTTATCTTTCTCTCTGCCCACTCTCCTTCCTCCCTGTAATACCAACACTCTGATCTTCCTCACTTGAAAATATTTTGAAGAAAAAGACTGCTGATCTTTGTGGAGTTCATCCATCTCTTTTTTTTCTTTTTTTTCTTTTTTGAGACGGAGTCTCGCTCTGTCGCCCAGGCTGAAGTGCAGTGGCCGGATCTCAGCTCACTGCAAGCTCCGCCTCCCGGGTTTACGCCATTCTCCTGCCTCAGCCTCCCGAGTAGCTGGGACTACAGGCGCCCACCACCTCGCCCGGCTAGTTTTTTTGTATTTTTTTAGTAGAGACGGGGTTTCACCGGGTTAGCCAGGATGGTTTTGATCTCCTGACCTCGTGATCCTCCCGTCTCGGCCTCCCAAAGTGCTGGGATTACAGGCTTGAGCCACCGCGCCCGGCCTTTTTTTTCTAAGCAGCCATTCCACTTCTCATTCCTAAAGAAAAGACGCCAGTTCCCTCCAAAAGACAATCACTTTGTTTAAAGCGATACCATTGTCAACCCCAAATGACTTTCACGGGTCTCAATGCAAGAGCCAGAGTAATTCATTTAGAACATGAAGAACTTTCCCTGCCTGATAAGAACGATATCTTGAAAGGATTTTCTGTTCTGACTTGAATTATTCAAAGAGCAGATTGTACTTTCAATGTACATGTGCATATACACACACACACGAACTTGAAAGAAAAAATAGAGAACAAAAACATCTGCACAACTGGCTGCAAAGCAAACTGGAAGGTATATGAAAAGGTATCAACGTTTCACATTGCAGACTAACTGCAGTTTAAACTTTCAAATTATTCAGATGGGGAAATGCCTGATCCTTTTAACCTACTCAGATGCTTTGATGTAAATAATCAAGAGGTATTTCAGCCAGGAGGTGAGCCTAATGCTTAACTTACATAATGTTCCTTGTGGTTTGGTTTGGTTTCTTTTTACTCTTCCCATTCAGGTTTTCCAAAATGAACTCATTACAACATCTAATACCTCCTCAAATATCTGCACTCTTTTATCCCTATGTTTGTGGCTACATCCTTTACTTCTTATATCAATGTTAAGTACTATTTCGTCATTGGTGGGCTGTAAGCAAGTTATTTCATCAATAGCAGTAAGTTTACCACTTTTCCTTGCTTCCCTCTCACCACCACCATCCCCAAATCAACTTAGGTCCATTTGTGGGATGCAGTGCAGCCTCACCGCCTGAGGTTATACCTTGCTCCTACTTTGTACTAGCTACTGGGCAAGTGATTTCACTCTCTGCACCTCAGTTTCTTCACCTGCATCTGTTGCACAGGGTTTGTGAGATACATTGCTGTGGACCCGGCTTACAAGTACTTAATGTGTCCATCTTATTATTTTTAGCAACCAGTTAGAAAACAGTCTGTGGACCAGTTTCTCCTTGCTGTACAGCTAATTCTGAAGAGGGGAACTGGACCTAATCTTTGGCTTTAAGAGGACCCACACAGCCATGTGAGTCAATAAAAGAACTTCAAGAAGAAACTAGAGTTCTTACATCCAAATGCTTCTCACTCTGCCAGTACTCCTAAGGATCTTATCAACAGGAAACAAAAGCACTATACCACTATAATGAAGTGTCTGACTTTTATTTTCTCATTAGAAAAGCCCAAAGATTGTAGCCCAGGGAACAGCTAAATATTTAGAATGTTATAAAAGTTACAAAGACCCAGCCACCCACCCCTACCCACCTCTGTTACCCTGTTATTTACCATGTTCCTGAGCATTTTAGGAGAAAAAACTTTTGATGGCCAAATCTGCAGCAATAGTGATGTACGTGCACCCGCTGAAACCTCCCACTCTTCAAATGCAGTCTGACCATTTTGGGGAAAAAATAGGAACTGTTGTGTTTACAGATAAATGCTGCTCTCAGCTCATATTCCACCACAGGCCCCAAAACAACAGGGCCCTGCCAGATTCCTTGACTTTCAGGTGGCTCGAGTCAAGGGCTGGATGCTACTATCTTAAGCTCCAGTAACTCACTTCCCTTTTTAAAGTTCTAATTCTTTCAACTTGCAGCAACCACTTTCATTTCTTGCAATCCAACCTACTCTGATTAAGCACACGTTCAAAATTAGAAAAGAGTGACTATTTTTTGAAGGAGAGAAGCAGTTAATATTGCTTACACATCTTGGCATATGAAATGCACTGCGTCCTTTAGAATTTAAATAATCAGCACGCTTTTCAGACCAGCAATGGGCCGCCGTTTTATTGCTCCATTTAATGGCCTTTCCCCTCCCCGCCTCTTTCATAAACCTTCAGGCTCCTTCAGTTCTGAGCTACGTCCAAGAAACGGACAGTCCACTGGACCTCTGCTCCCAAAAGCCCTCACCAAAGGCAGAGGCAAATTTTGAAGGCTGAGCCACGGAGTTTCTTTTTCTTTCTTACCCCCCACCTCACTGGCGATTTAGATAGAACTTAAAATAGGCTTAGGACAAAAACTCATTATTGACTATAGCACTCAGGCTTCCACACTCACCTGACCCGGGTCAGGCACTCTGTTGCCAAAACAAGCCCAGCGAGGGGTGCAAATCCTGCTCCTCTGTAGTCAGCTCCTAAATATTTAGAAAGAAAGAAGACTGAGTACCAGATCGCGGAAGATGAGTCTCTAACAGAAGTGCTCCAAATTACAAGTTTCCAACTTCTTTAGCCTCCTTCCCTGGGGAGACCCCTCCCCACCCCACCCTCCAATTTTGGCAGGCAGGTTGGTGGGATCGCTTGGGCGACGATTACAGGTAACTACTCTTATTTCCAGGATGTAACTGACAAGTGAGACTAGGCACGCATAAACTTCGAACGTGCGGGAGGCTGGAACTAAGGGAAGTGTTTGGCAGATCCCAAAGCACTTGTTTCCCGGTGAGGAGGCCAAGTATCCGAAGCCCGCATCCTCACTGGACATGAGCTTCGTCCACACTTCATCTCTCACCGCTTCCCCGGTTTTCTTCCGTTTTTAAAAACCCTCCCCACGGGGGCCCCCCACACATGCATTATTCTCCCAACCATGGAGCGCAAGAGAGGGCTACATTTTTAGAAAGATTATTTCCTTGAGCAGGCTCACATATGACACCCCCACAACCTCTCTCCGAGAAAAAAAAAAAAAAAAAAAAACTATTTCCTGCAGCTGCAGCAACAGTTTCCAACTTGGGGGAATGCCACACCAGTCCAGAATAGGGAGCCCCCAAAGCCACGCACTAGAGTCGAGGATATTTGTTTTTTAAGCCTCAAATGAGCTCCTCCAAAAACACTGCCCGCAGTAAAGGAACCCCCAAATGCATGCCAACTGCATGCACATCCATCGATATCTCCCCGAGACCGGGGCAAAAACTTCTGCGCCGGGGGAGCCAGTGCCAACTCCCCGCGCCCTCTGCCCGGCCCCAGCCGCTACCTTGGTGCCCGGGGAGCCACGCCGGTTTGGGGGAGCAGGGCGAGGAGAGGGGTTAGCAGCCGCTGGATAATCCCATGTCCGCGAAGAGGGAGCTCGTTCCGTTAGGATGGAAGCGGAACACCCACACCTCCTCTCGGCGTGCGCTTTCTCTCTCTCCACCCCCTGCCTACTCCTCCACCACCACCACCTCCTCCTCCTCCTCCTCTCCTCCCACCCCAGCGAGCTTGAGGAAACGCTTCAGCAGCACATCCACATGGTTACTGCACTTTGAAGCGGCTCCGGGTGTCTTATATAGGCCGGGAAGCTCCCTGGGCAATGTAGTCCGAGTACCGGGTGGTGGCGGCGCCTGAGGCAGCGGGGAGGGACTACAAGTCCCAGAACCCCCTGGGCGCCCGGGCTGGGCCCTAAATAGACGCGCGCGGGGACAGGGGAGGGGCGTCCTGCGAGGCTTTCAGGCTGCTTGTCCCGTACCTTGGCTGGGTAGGTAGGTCTTGGAGCCTGCCATCCAAAACCACCCCTGGGAAGCGCCCGCAACCCTTGGGGACGCCTCTCCTCCGGCTGCCCCCCTTCCCTGGAATCCAGGTGTCACTGGGGCCGGGGAGGGGCTAGGAGCTCGGATTTCTGCTTTGGGAAGTTTTTACAAGCCCACCCTCCCCCTGCCTTGGGTCCCGAGCCAAGAATTTCAGAAATCCGGGGCACAAAAACGCCAGTGTTTGCGGTCAAGGATTAAAGGCGCGAGGTTGTCTTTATTTAATCTGCTCCGCCCTGCTCGGGTTTGCACGAAAAACCAAGCCTGGGAGCGGCGGTCCACGCAAGCGGAGACACAGGCAAGTCGCGTGAGAGCACTTTTCTGAGCCCGAGTTGCGTGTCTTTTGTCGCCCCTCAGGAGGTAAAGAAACGCAGACCTCTCCGGTGCACAAATAAAGGAGCCGTGTTGTGACTTGCGGGCTCTGAGATTGGGAGACAGAAAATACATACCGCGACCTCAGTCCTGACCCTACCTCTAGCAGTCCCTCTGCTCCTGGGAGCTGTAAATGCTTAAGTAAATAAACCGCAAACCAGAAAAATAAGGGCTTGGGAGAGAGCCGCTCACAGAGAGATGCGCGTCCAGGCGGGGCGCTCTCCAACAGCTCCGACTGGGGCGAGGTGGGTTTCACCCGCTGCCAAGTAGTGCCTGGGCTCCCGGGTTACGGGCTGCTTCGGGCTCCGGCTTTTGCCGGAGGGGAGAGCTAAGCCCGGAGGCAGTCAGCCGACTGCCCTCTCTTGCCTCAAATGACGTATATTCATTCCTCAAACGTTTCCTGAGTGTTTACTGGGTGCCAGGAGCTGGGGCATAGTGGTGAGCCAAACGCATTATAGCATCCCAGACAGGCACTTCCTGACGCCGCCTAAAGATCTGTTATAACAATAGTAATAATAATGATAATAATCAATGGAGAGGCTGATTTTATTGGGCCCAGACCACACGCAGTTTTCATACTTCATGCTATTGAGTTTCACCAACTGTAGGTATATTTACTATACCTATTTGGCAGGTGCACAATCCAGGGCTCAGAGAAATCAGGTAACTTCCCAAATGACGCCTCGAGTTAAGTGGTACAGCCTGGATTCCGGTTCCATACTCTACGTGTATCAAACCCTTGTCTTTGGGGAAATCCATCACCATTGCCTTAAATAGCCTCTCTCCCCATTTTAGGAGCAGCCTCTGAGCCCTTGGGCAAGTCATTTTCATCTCTTTGCCCCAGTTTTGCCATCTTAAGGAGATTCTCATTAGAATATGTCTACTTTTTAGCAGGATTCCTTAATATAGAGTCGAGTCTTATGCAACTTTAGGAACAAATTAGAGGAGCATCATATCTAATAGTTATTACTGACATAATGCCAAAACGAATCACAATTATTGACATTTATTGGATGAATGCCATATGTCAGGCATTGGTCTAAACTCTTTCTGTATAGCACCTAATTAAATCCTATTAAGACTTTTTTTTACTTATTAGAAAACTGGGGGTGGTGGGGTACAAAGCGGTTAAATTGCTTCCTCCAAAGTCACACAAATAGCTGACTCTTGAACCCTAGACCTAAACTACTACTCTCCGCTACCTCCCCAATGTAAACACGTGCACTGCATTTACCTGCTCAGATATGCATTTAATACCAGTCCAAGAAGGGGCAAAGCTCTTGAAATAGACAAAGTTTGTGTTCACGATATTCGCTCCTGCCCTCCCTTCTCTTTCAGCATTATCCCCTGGTCACTGGGCGCTGGAGTCTAGTGCCTAATACCTTAAGCTACCTCTCCCCATCATCAAGAAACTCCCGCATCTGCCATATAAAGGAAATGTTTCTCATTCACCCCCTCTCATCTCTTCCCCCATGATAACTTCTTCCATTTTCAAAGGATCTTCGGCTCTACTTTTCAAGCAAATTCAACAAATCAGTGTATGCCTATGTAACTGGTAAATGGTGAAGGGTAATTATTTCATGTGCTTCTAACTCAGAAACAATGGAATATTAACAGGGGTTTTCTGAAGATCCAGTTGGACAATTTTCATCTTCATCATATAATGGACATTTATCTCCTACCTGTCTTATCCACTGTCTTCCCTTGGAGACCACAAATTTCACTGAAGGCAGCATCTATGTCTTATTCATGCTTGTGCTCTCTACCTCCCCTGACTCAGAAGGACTTACTCTTCTTTCTGCACATTTTAGTAGATGTGTAAAAAAAAAAAAGTTTGTTAAAAAGATGTTTTAATGGAAGGTGTGTCAGGCATATGGCAGGATACATGACCATATTTTTGGAGCATGCACACCTTGTAGCCCATCTCTATCATAGCCTGTTTTCTCTGCCTGTGTGTATGGATCATCCTATTCAACATTTTGTAAGGTCTAGAAGCTCTCCCCATCATCAAGAAACTCCCGCATCTGCCATATAAAGGAAATGTTTCTCATTCACCCCCCTCATCTCTTCCCCCATGAAAACCTCTTCCATTTTCACTAGGTCACTGGAAAGTAATTTTGTTAATTTTGCTATGATGTGAACAGGTTCTCTATGATGATGTATGACTGATAAATTATGATGATTAATGTCAGAATAAAAGAATCACTGCCTAACTCATTCTCCATTATCAGTAGAGGGAAAGGAGCTGCTTTCTCTTCACTGTATTTTTTTCTAGAAGAATTTTCTATCCCTGTGTTTTCCAGTACAGTGACTGCTAGCCATTTAGGCACGTAAGATGTGGCTAGTTCTGCGATGTGAAATAGATGTTAAACACACATTGAATTTCAAAGACTTAGTACAAAAAAAGCAAAATATCTTAATTTGTATAGTGATTACATGTTGAAGTGGTAATATTTTGGATATTTGTGTTAAATAAAATAGATTATTAGAATTGATTTTACCTGCTTTTTCCTTTTTTAATATAGCTACTAGGAAATTAAAAATTACTTATGTAGCTTCTATCATATCGTATCATATTATGCAGGACTGATGTAGAAAACCAGGAATCTGATTCCCAGGATCACAATTCGAGATGATGACCAGCCCATTAAGATGGCCATTTATGACTTTGCCCTTGAAATGTTCATGCAGGGAACTAGAAGGGCTTTGCAAGGTCAGTACAGTATCATAGACTGAGCAAAAGTCTGAAGAAAGTCCAAAACTAGCACTCAAGCCTACCTCCACGGAAGACCTACAAATAGAAGCATGTTTCGTCAGCAGTACACAGCTGAAAACTATAACTGAATTCATCTGCCTAGAAGCCCACCTCAAATGCTGCCCTGGTTAAGAGAGCACGATAAGCTGGAGAAAGGAGGGATTGGAGAAAATCGTTTTGACACCCAGCTGTACCATTTATATCCTGTTTTGTTTTGTTTAATAAAGTGATACTAACAATCCTTGCCTTGTCAATCTCACTGGGTCAGTGGGTCATAGGACATGAAAGGGCTTTGCAGACTCACCCTAGCTATACTAAAGAAAGAGAACATTATCAACAAGAATGAAGATAATGTTAATGTGTCTTGATACAGTACTCAGTTCCAAACCAAACTTCAGATTAGTGGGGCAGCCCTATTCCCAATTTTCTCTCAGGCATAAGATTTCAATTGCCTATGGAGTGTAATTGGATTGTAACTCAAAGAATAAATGCTTGAGGGGTATAGATACCCCATTCTTCATGATATGCTTATTTCACATTGCATGCCTGTAACAAAATATGTACCCCAAAATATATACACCTACTATGTACCCGTAAAAAATTAAAAAGAACAGAATCACCTATGAATGTCACGATGAGCCTTGAGTGCTTTAATTAATAACGCTAAGTCACGTTTAAATGGCAAGAAAGAATGTCCAACACCCAATCATAGAATTCAATCTATATTTTGGCGCTGACACTGTATTTTCTAGCGTGATGGACTACCATTGACCATGGGAAACATCAGCAAAGAGAAATAGCTACTGTATAGCTAGTCCAACTTGTCTCTCTTGGTCATTGTTAATGTTTTATGGTGGAGGGATAGGGTCACAGCCCTCATTGAAACTCATAAAATCCATGGACACTTGCCCCAGCACAACACAGATACTGCAAATTTCTGCACCAGTTCTTTAAGTTTCTTGTACCAATCCTCTAAAAACCATTCATAGATACCCCCACAAGCTTAGATTATCTTTCAGCTCCATTTTTCGGTGATTTTTATCTCACCATTCAGATAACCTGTTTGAAGATAGGGACTAAGTCCTTTAAATACAGGACCCTTTATAGCATCTAGTTCTGTTCTGGATACAGAGTAAGCATTCAGCACTTACTGGCTAATTGGAACTTACAACGATGACCAGAAGAAATGACCTGCAGACACTTAATCAACGCTACTTGACATGGAAAAAGTGTAGTTGCTGTTCGAACAAGGGCAGGAGAGAGGAGAGAGGACAATTTGGTATGGAGCTATAGAAAGTAAGATGTTTTCTGAATCCAGGCTCTAGATGTCCTGTGAGAATGACAGAAGACACAGCAAGAGGGCCTATTTTTGTTATCCTATCTCTGAAGTGTGGAAGAAACTGCTGGTCAGTCACCTTGTGAGTGGAGGGAACATGGACAAAATGTCAATAATTTAAAATCTGTAAGGCAGCATGATAACTACAAAATAATGCAAAAATTAAGGAGTTCCTAGTACTCTATGCTTTATGGAAGTAGCTGCTATACCATCTCTGATGATTGCTGCCAGTATTGTCTAGAATCACGTAAGCATGTAAAGAGAACTATTACTTTCTTATTCATTATTTTCCTGTAAAACATGCAGAGCCAGGGGTCTATTATTAACTACCCCATCTCCTGCCTCCCACCTGCAAGACTGTCATCCTAAATTGCTCTAGTAGACAAGCTAGATCTGGAGACTTGAAGAAATCTTGGGAAAGGCTTTTTTGTCTTATCTTAGTGTTTAAACTGAAATGAAATCTGCGTATCAAAGGAAAAACATAAAGCTCTTCCTTACAGAATAATTCAGCTAATACATGTAGGAGAAATAATAACATTAGAAAATCACCATTTTGCAGCTTCCAGTATAATGATTTATTTAGATAGGCCAGGCACAGTGCCTCAAGCTTATAATCCTAGCACTTTGAGAGGCCGAGGTGGGCAGATGACCTGAGCCCAGGAATTCAAGACCAGCCTGCGTAACACGGCAAAACTCCGTCTCTACAAAAAATACAAAAATTAGGTGGTCATGGTGGCATGCACTTGTAGTCCCAGCTACTTGGGTGGCAGATGTGGGAGGATCACCTGAACCCAGGGATATAGAGGCTGCAGTGATCTGTGATTGTGCCACTGCACTCCAACCTGGGCAACACAGTGAGACCCTGTCTCAAAAAATAAATAACTAAATAAATTAGGCAGATTATCAATAGATGCCAAACGTGGGGAAAATGTTGATGAGTATGTGGTCCTAAAAATCACTCTATACATCACACATGAATTCTGAAGTGAAAAATGGACCTTTACAGTAAAGAGATAATGGCAATCACCCACATGATTCACCCACGTAGCCATGTGATCAAATTTATTACCAGCAATACTGGGACAACTAGACACTATTTACATACGTATATGATTCTATAAGAAGTACACAACATCACATATGAAATGTTCTTGCCAAAAATATTCGTGAGGAAGCACTCAAACAAACTCAGAATGCAGGACATTCCACAAGACCATTGGCCTGTATTCTTCAGATAAATCAGTGTCATTTTAAAAAATATGGCAGGAGGATTCTCTAGATGCAAATGTTTAAAGTGATGCATTTGGTAATTACGCTGATTGGATCATTATACTATGTATACATCCCTTGAAACATCACATTTTACCCCATAAATATGGATGATTATGTGTCAATTACAAATTAAAAATTAAATTTAAAATAGAGACTGAAACAAACTTTACAACTATATGCAACATGTGACCTTTGAATTTTGGATTAAAAGAAACATTAAAATGAATCTATAGAAGACTTTTTGAGCAACTGTAACAATTTGAATATTATAAAAATTGTAAATAATTTTATTAGGTGTGATGATAGCATTGTGGTTATGTATGAAAATGTCCTTGTCCTCAAGAGATGTATACTAAAGCATTTTGAAGTAAAATCTCATGGTATCTGAAACTCACTCTCCAAAAATGTATGGTGGCATGCACCTGTAGTCCCAACTACTCTGGAGGCTGAGGCACAAGAATCCCTTGAACCCGGGAGGCAGAGGTTGCAGTGAGCCGAGATCATGCCATTGCACTCCAGCCTGGGTGACAGAGCAAGACTCTGTCTCACAATAAATAAATAAATAAATAAATAAATAAATAAATAAATAAATAAAATGCATGCCCATTTAATCTAAAAAGTATATATTTTTATGTTTACACTTACCTATCTTATTCAAAAAATTATCTAAAATCTCGCCACATTCATAGAAATGTTGGTGCCCATTTTTGTGATAGTTTTACAGTTATGCTGGAGAAATAATTATTTTTTACTTTTGAAGGTGATAGCCATGTTTCAACAAATGATTGAAAAATCTACTCTTGGCTTTTTGGGTAAAATGCAGAACAAGCTACTTACTATAACTAAGCAACTTTTGTGTCAGTCTCCAAATTAGGAGTAATTGTATTTGTTGCAGTATTTCCTTCTTAGGGTCTTTTCAAATCAACCAGAAAAGCAAAAAGAATTATGCATAAGAAAAGGGAAATGGAAGGCCAGGCACAGTGGCTCATGCCAGCACTTTGGGAGGCCAAGGCAGGAGGATCATTTAAAGTCGGGAGTTCAAGACCAGCCTGGGCAACATGGCAAAACCCCATCTCTACTACAAATACAAAAATTAGCTAGGTGGGGTGGCACATGCCTGTAGTCTCAGCTACTTAGGAGACTGAGACAGGAGAATCTTGGAACCCGGGAGGCAAAGGCTGCAGTGAGCCGAGACCGCACCACTGCACTCCAGCCTGGGCGACAAGAGCGAGACTCCATCTCCAAAAAGGAAGTGGAAAACTTGAGTATTGCAGGCTTCATCTTTCCCTTCTCCTGTGAAAGTTTTTTAATGATCAACAGACTTAGTTACTAAACTGGGCAGTGAATTCCACTATGTAATTCAGTTACCAGTGAAGTGAACTTACAGCTTTTTTCACTTGCCATGCTCTATCAGTGTAGACTCATGCAAATTAACTGCTTTCTTTTGCTTCCACTTA